TCACCCAGAATTGTGATTAATACAAGAACATACCAACAACCTAATTCAGATTATTTCTTGTCATCAGATTAACATGCTAACAAAATCATATTCCAATCTTAAGCAGAATGTTCTTGAGCATATAAACACTGTCAGCTGACACTGACAACTGTACTGCTTTAGAGAACACAGCCCTTTCCAAAGATCTACCTATTATTATCTAAAACACACACACACCCTGCATCAATATTTGCACTAAGTGCTGCTCCATATGTATAACAAACAATCTTTACACCGACAGACCACGTGTGCAACGTGCAAACATATTTAACTGTCCTCTGAAACATGCTCATTCCACTCTGCTTTGATTTGATTCATTATAAACCCGTGCTCGGTGTACTCTGCCTGTTTGCTGTGGGCAAGTGCAAGACTTCTTCCCCTGACCATTCAGACCCGTTCCACTCGACATGCATGGCTGTGATGGATAAGATTTCATTAGGTCCTGAACAGTGAAATTCTGTCGCCGAATTCTAACGCAAAATCACCTGTGCGTGAGGAAAAAATCTAAACCATTAGCGAACATTTCTATTTACACACCTTAAACGTTAAATAACAACGGCTACAGACAGCAACGAGCTGCAATTCGTGCCCTACAGCTATGGAGACTTTTAAAGCGAAAGGATAAGCCCATATGACAGACATACAATTACACGATTCCATTGGTGTGTATTATACATTCGGTTTACGAATAGGAAATGAACTGTCACATACCGCATACACATGGTTATCAGCCAAGCCAAGTGGAAGCGACAGAAATGTCATGACTGTAGAGGCAACATTTTGAAAACTGAGTACTATGAACATATACTATCTATAGGCTACTATCAATATGGGCGGTGCATTGGCAACAACAGAGGTCCAAATATATTATACCAAAAATAAAGGAAGCAATAAAAGAGGGAACTAAGCGTAAGCAGCCAATAATCTGTGTGTAAACAGCCTAAAATGTCGATTTAAGGAAAGAACCCGGTCGAGCAAGTGCATTACTACGGAATTCCTCACGGCGGGCGCGGTATTATCTCTCGAGCCACTGCTCGCCAGGAAAAAGTTGATACAACGTAGCGCCGAAGGTTCCAAACATTTCGCGCCAAACATCAACAGTTATAGTGTAGCAAACAAACCGCGAGACCATAACAATAAGCAGAACGCGCCCCTGAAACAACGCTCGTGCAAAAGCAAAACTATTAAAGCACTGCTTTTCATACCTCCTTCTTGGTCGGCTTGCAGGCAAGCGGGGATATTTTTCTTCCAGCCCGGCATTTCGGTGGCGTCGTGTGCATTCAGGGGCTAAATCTCAGGCGCATTTCACTGACGGCACAGGCGAGCATTTCCCCGCGCCTCGTCCCTTCTATTCACTGGCGACCGGTGTAATTGAACGCCGTGTCTCCCTCAGCCTCGTTGTGGAGCTGAGCTGGGGGTGTGAGCAGACACACGAACGTGAAGGTGCCCACTACAACCCACTACAATAAAGTCTTTCCCTTTCCTACCTTCCCCAAGCCTAGAATTGTCTCATTATTTTGTCGCGTTAAAGCTTCACATTGCAGCCCTAGTAACCGTCACCCCACAACACGTTTCTGTTAGTCTGTAGTCTAAATGAAGTGTAAGTGTGTGCACTGGGGCTAATGGTCTATTCCACTGTTTTAAAAGTGTGTGTCTTATTCATTCACATCTTAGTGGGGTGGGTTTGAGGCAGTGTCAGTGTCAGACAATATTTGCCCCCTGGAATGGATTTTCTTTGCCTTTGTGAAGGTTTAATGCTTTTCTAGTCATGTAAAACATAGTATGCTGTTCATTTAGGTCAAATGTTTCAACAGGATCAATTTAATGTAATACATTTTTCATCTGGACCATTAAGGCTGTTAAGTATTAAATCAAATAAACAGCAAATGGGTCAATAACAATATTACATTCATTTTTTGTCTGGATGTAGTATGCAATTCAGAAAAATACATTAAAAGGCCATTCATAAAATGACTTGATCTACTATGATGTTGCTTTCAGTTTCTGAATTAAAAGTCATTTTGATATGTGATCACTTAAAAAGAAAAAAATTGTCGTTGGATACTCTTTTCTGAAATTCCTGAAAGACGTGTGTTGTTTTTGTAAAAGTCATTTTATTATTAGGAAAAACATTTTGTTTATAAATATTATCAATATTTGAAGACCTTCTGTCTGACATTTCAAAGTAAACGCCAACTTGTTTTGACACACGTGTTCAAGTGTTTGTATTCAAGATTCAAGGTATTTTAGTACTTTTTTACTTGATACTTTTACATTCAATAAATCAAAGTGGAGAAAATGGCACAAGAATTATTCAAAAGTGTATTCTGTAACTGTAAATGGTTCTGAATGGCTGTTCATTGCTAAGCATTATGTTCTCTTGCAGAAGTGTATACCTTTAATGGAGTGCTTTTAGACAAGTGTTTAGTTTAACCTTACTTAAGTGTTTTATTCTAAACCCATGGCCAGATAGGCAAATATACCACCACTAATGAATTATGTCAGATGTTCAGTAACATTACATTCATTAAAGTGGCCTTTTTTACACATTTTAAATATCTTTTTCCACCACTCTTTATCCACCTGTGTGAACTAAAAAATTAGGAACATGATTCATATCTCAGTGTTTCCAGCATCTATTTGTAATTTATGAAAGCTGCATTAATCTTTCTACCAAACTGTTGTCCGTTGCATGCAGTAAGCGTCAACCCACCTTCAGTAATTGTGCAGCAGTTTACAGTTTCAACCTTTAACTATCTCCTGGTGAGTGGGTTTCGAGAGCCTATAATGTGCTGAACTCAAACTTTAATTAACCGTTTATTTCAGTGAGCTGGTAATTTAATTATATCTGCTTATGTAACATTTTCAGCCTCATAGAGGTTTTAGATGTTACTGGATTAAGGACTAAATATATGTACAGCAAAGAGAAAAACAAATACTTTAGTTAATGCAATCAGTTAAATATTTAGTTTTATATGAGTAAATATTCACATCTGATCCCAATCACATCTGCTGTTATTTTTAATTAAGTTCAACAGCACTGGATGAACAAACACTGGAAAAACAATTATTAGTATTAGATTTTTACAAAAACCGTTGTATGAAAAACAATTTCCGGCATATTGTGCTTTTTTTTAGTTCTCTTTAGGGAGCACTCCTTGCATTTAACCCTACTGCCCTAAACAGCGGGTTGCGGTCTATGTTGGTGGTCTCCATTACCGCTGGCATAAAGCAACATGGCGCTTCATGCTTCTGCCAGCATGTACACATCTAATACACAGCCACTGAGAAAAAAGTATCCAGATAAATGTAGGTTAGGTGACGCTGCTTCTAAGTGGGCATTGTGACACATCATCATCGGCCTACTTTTTCTCAGACCCTGCTGTTTTTTTATTCCTTATGTGTTCCCTCCCCCTTCTCATTCCCTGTCCATCCATCCACCGGGGTGCCCTGGCGGCTTCATGCGCGCCGGAGCGTAGACTACGGGGCAAGGCCAGTCTGTAATGAGTCAGGTCGGGCAGAGCTTATCCTCATTCTGAGTCCATTCTTCCATTATGCCATCCATCCATTCGTCCCTTGGGCTGCATACCGAGTAGCACATCATCCTCTGACATGATACAGCAGACAGGAAGTGGAAGGAGGAAGGGGGGTTAGCATGAGGGAATGCGATGCCCTTACTTAGTGGCTCCCAAGGCCTAATGGTTTTCACTGGTCGGTGTAGAGGTGAAGATGTTGAGGAGCAGGGCAGAAGTGAGGATGGTATTTTATTACACTTGGGAAGGATTCTAGTTGGAGATTATATATTCAGGTGAAGGCCAAGCTTGATGTTCCTTATAGTTCCTATTAATATGTGTAGGCTTCTACTGTTGTTAAGCACATCGCACCAGAGAATGACTACTCAAGGCTGCATGTAAAATGCTGTTTTGTGACCCCAGTCTTTAAGGGGTGGTGAGGGGAGTCCAGAAAACTACATTTAGAGGTCTCGTCAAGGACATTTTTTGTTTTCAGCACCTGTTTTTGCACTATATTTTCCAATACAGCATTTCAACATAAATGTAAGACTTTTTTTAGCTTACACTATAGGTTAGTGTTTGAACAAATGCCTCCTCAAGACAATAGAGAGTTAAGGAATTTCTGGATAAAAATGATGGTTTGCTTAGAGTTTTCACCTGGAGAGATTCATGCGCATCTAATGTTTAGATTGGTTAGTCATACCTAATCTGTTCCGTTAATGATGCATGATGCAGAATGTGGCACTTTTTGGGCCTTCATATGGTGGCTTTATAAAATTAATGAGGCATAGCAGTTACTTGACTCATCCTATCGCTCATTACAAACCAGTTTTCATTATTGTATCGGACAAAACCCTAATATTATTATCAAGGAATAGCAGTTCAATAACACAGCAGTTCATAACAAAATACAGTTTTATGCATTGATTCTTAAACGTTGCCATTTTATATTAGAATAGTAATAATGAGAAAGTCACAACTGCAAAGGGAATAGCTGTTCTCTTTAGAAATAGCTTCATAACTGAACAGTGTTTCTCGTTCTTCAGAAGCACAGTGCTGACGACACGTCCTGAGTAACGATTTCCAAAAAGTTGCAAACATTTCACAATTTTTCCATCATGGTCCAAACGTAGCAGTTACTTGACTCATCCTATCGCTCATTACAAACCAGTTTTCATTATTGTATCGGACAAAACCCTAATATTATTATCAAGGACACAGCAGTTCATAACAAAATACAGTTTTATGCATTGATTCTTAAACGTTGCCATTTTATATTAGAATAGTAATAATGAGAAAGTCACAACTGCAAAGGGAATAGCTGTTCTCTTTAGAAATAGCTTCATAACTGAACAGTGTTTCTCGTTCTTCAGAAGCACAGTGCTGACGACACGTCCTGAGTAACGATTTCCAAAAAGTTGCAAACATTTCACAATTTTTCCATCATGGTCCAAACATTCCAGCTTTTACCTTCCAGGCCATTTAACTTGTCATCCACCTTGTCCATTATACGCTTTCATTTAACTGCAGAGGAAGACAGCAACACAATTATTGTCACATTTTGATGGATATTAATGCGAACATGTTTCTGAGAGACTTTGATGTGATGAATCACAGAGCGATGTTGCAGAGCTGCTACAACAAGTGTGTATTTTAAATAAACTTTCGCTATTCAACCTGTCCACTGTGGTTGTACATAATTGACCATGTTTAGCAATTATTAGAACACTCTGTAATTACCATGCAGTTGTTATGAAATAACAATCAGCAGGCATTGATCTTGACGTCTTGTCTAAGTATTGGCATGCTTGCATACCGAATGATGGACTGCCTCATTTGAAGGTGTAATCAAAAGACAAGCAGGCCGCCATTACTGCTCTTAACTGTCAATGCTAATAACAGTCATTCACCCAACTGTGATTCATGAGATGAACTTTCAGGCAGGACACACAGTTATACCCAACTTTACCCAGCATGCCTTGAGTTGAATTCCCATTCACTCTCAGCAGCGTGCAAGGCCAGTGAAGCTCTCTGTACTGTACGTCTGTAGAGTTGAGCAGATGGAGTCTAAAGAGAGGGAGCATAAATAAAGAATACAGGAAAGATGGTGAATGTACAGATGGGGAAAAAAGCGAATTTCTTTGCTCCTGAGGAGGTACCCGAGGGTCTGCAGAGGAAGCTGAAATCGCAAATTCGCATGCAGGTCTTGCAGTAGAGACCGGCTCCCGCTGCTGCTAAGAAAGGCCAGGCTTCGCACCATGGCTGCCTGTGCACAATGTAATTCACGGCCCTGTGGCAGCTCCTTAAGTCTCACGGGGCAATCAAAGGCAATATGATTTCTGCTTCAATCAGAGCGCTTTAGTGCCCATTACACTTCTTGTATGCATGGGCAAATAAAAATCCAGTGGCGGTGTACTTCCTCTTAGCAGCCAATAAGCTGCTGAGGGACAGATATTGAAAAGCCAAGATGAAGCCAAGGAGAAAATCAAGAGAAAGTGAAAAACAACTACTCAGGGAGAAATTAAGAACAAAATATTCAAAAGAAATTCAGCATCACCATGACTAGACGAGGCTATTGACTTTGTGTGACAGTCCTTGGAGTTTTTTATGAACAATATTGAAGCTCCTGGAAGATGTCCCTGCCCCATATACCATTTCTGCCTTAGTAGGAACAAAAGCAAAGAAGCTCGAAGCTGTCCTACAAACAGATTAATTCTTGTGGTTTCTGTTGCGTGTATGTTGGGTTTTTTATAGCATAGACCCTTTCTAGTGGGCTAGCAAGAAGCTTATAATTGTCAATTATGACATTATATAAAAGAAATCCTAGAAAGGCATTAAAATACAGTCAAATTTTGTAATGAGAGAAGTTCTGTCAACATTGACATGTTCACAAAGATATATAAAATAGTCAGTACTATTTTCACTCTTGTTTGGCACTGCTGGAGTGTAGAGAACAGTTCCTATGAGACCCACCGCTCTAGACAGTATAGTCACGCATCCTCTGCGGTGTCAGAAATGGTCGGCAATAATTTTGTCTTTATTTGCCTTCCCCATCTAAGGCTTGTCAAGTTCCCTGATGTTCAATGTATCAAAATGACAACTAGCAGCAACTGCAAAACTTGAAGGCACAGTAGGGTTTTGTGCTGTGCTCTGCTGTAAGGCCTAGAAACGTCCAATGAAGAGTCAACCACTAATCCAAATGCATCATGACAACTAATGACATCATTGTGTGCTTCTGTACCTTTTAACCTCTGAAAGTTTTAAATGTACTGTCTGTGATGACTCAAAGTAATCTCCCCAAGGCCTTAAATCCATTAATGAATGCTCCATTATGAATCATGTTTGGTAGGATGAAATCACCTGAAAATGAAATTCTGTCATCATTTACTCACCATCTTTTCGTTCCAAACCTGTATGGCTTCTTTTGTAGAAGAAATTTTGTTAGGTCTTTTTCATGCAATTACTATGAAATGGGACTAACCTTAAAATAGGATGTAAAGACCCCTAAAAGCATTAGAAAATTCATAAGCCTCATCAGTCTTATGATAGCTTTGTGTGAAGAACAGACCAAAATCACAGAGTTACTGAGTTGAGAATGAAAAGTGGATCAGTTTAAGATCATTCTGACGGGTCTTGTGAACGGATTCATTTAAATAATCTAATTTAAAAGAATGATTCATACATTATTCTCATGAAATACTAGAATGGCTGTCAAGATTTTCAGCTAATGATTTAAATCATCATTTTTTCAAGACTTAATGATTTAAGTCTGTTTGTCACACAAACCTATTGCATGGCATGGAATATAGCGTTCAAGTCATATAGACACTTTTTTGACGCTGATGTGATGGTGACGTTTTGTCATTTTGGGGCTTGAAAGCCCCAGTCCACATACATTTGTATTATTCAAAAAGAAGTGACCAGGATGTTCAATAACTCACCTTAAGTTATCATACGAATCATAAGTTCACAGAACTCCTTGTAATGTTTGCTTCTGTGCTGAAATGGACAATGAAGTAAAGAACACAAAGGCCCCAAGCATCTGAATCACTAGACGAGGAGATCAATAACTGTACCAGTACAACCTCTGAAAGAGAGGAGACAAAGGCCTGATGTTACGCAAGAACAGTGCAGCATTTCATTCACTGAATAAGCAATTGTTGAGAAAAAAAACATTATGTACTCAAACTGTCCTCATTCTCATCTCATTTTAATCAAGGCAACTACAAATTTCTTGATCAATTATCAATGCATTTATCATTTATCTGTCTCATATATGGTTTTAAATGATTCTTTTTATTAATTAAACTTTGGAAAAACTCCTTGCCTTTTGATCTTCGTGGCTTCTTGATGCAAAAAAAATATTTCAAATAAACTTATAAGTACTAGAGAATTCAATAGCCTTTATTTACTGCTCAAACAAAAAACCCACAGCTCTCTTTGATATTCTTTACAGATGAATCCTTTGTGGATCTCTTACATGCTCTATGTGACTTTGTGTGAGTATGTGATTGTTTTAGCAAACAAGGGATGCAGAGAGAGCACTTTTTAATAAGACAGTTGTTATGCAAGCACTACAAACATCAATTCTCAGAAGACCACCTGAATACAAAATGGTTGTTTGTGTCCCTGTGACAAAACAGTATTGAACAGTATTGTTCTTTAAAATAAGAAAAATGCTAAACAGTACAGTCACATATTGCTTTGATTCTTAGATATGTAGCGAATCAGCTCATGGGGAAATATGAATAATTAACCACAACTAGTTATAGTTAACTATTCATATTTTAGATCCACTGTAGATATTTAGCTGACCACTCAGGGTCAACTGTCTTGTCAATTCTAAGAACGTTTCATTGAGAATTTCTCTGCATTATTAAACTGGTTCATCTTAGTACAGAATGTCTTTCTGCCTCACAAACAGAACTTCTGCCAGCACTTCAACATATATTTCCAACTCAAATAGCTGTTAGCCAACAGAGACATTGCTATCAGTTTTAGAGACACTAAAGAACAAATTATGAAATAAAATATGATCACACGTGGCCTGCGGTACTTAAATTTCAAACCCAATTAAATCACCAGCTTTCGAAAACAGCTTTCTCCGAGGTCTTGCTGTCAACATTAAGGCTTCATTGGGTTCTTGGTTAATCAAATGTGAATTAGATTAAGCTCTTTAATTAGCTAAATGTGTTGAGAATAAGAGTGGGTTGGCCAAGAATGAGTCTAATTAGGCAAGGCCAAAATCTGCTGGAAAGAACATAACAATGTCAAGTGATGAATTACAGAGGACATGATTTTCTTCCACCTCTGTTTACTGGATGACACTAAATTCATGGAGGTTTCTTAAATCAGGAAACATAAATTATTATACTACCCCATAAGGCCACGGGAGAGGATTTATAAATAGTGAAGTGAAGCTGATAGGTCACGTGACAATGACAACATGGCGAATGTAGTATGTCCAGATTACATTCATACTACACAGATTCATACTATATAGAACATACCTTTTCAGCGGCCGCAAAGTAATGACTTATTTAGAATAAGTACCTACTCATGAGAGTATGCGATTTCGGACACAGCCTAACACTTGATTCGTTCCTGAATGAATCAATGTTTTTGAATAAATAGTTTGAATGAATGATTCAATGTCTCAATCACAAAAACAGTCAATTACTGCCATCTACTGGCATAGCAATGTAACCTGCAGAAAGTGTCACTGACAAACACAACAAACAAGCAAGTCCCAGTGATATTGTACTCTTATATGACCACTCGACCATATGAAACACTGCTTGACCAGTTAGATCGGTGGACCAGAAATAACTTTTGCATGATTGAATGAATGAATGATGCATTTATATAGCGCTTTATTGTGTATTGTTGTACACCCAAAGCGCTTTACAATCATGTGGGGGGGGGGTCTCTCCTCAACCACCACCAGTGTGCAGCATCCACTTGATTGTATTTATTCGACATAATAACTTCAGGAACACCAATAAATGAGTGCCATTATTAGTTTTAGCCTTGTTTTTATAGCAACAGTGGAACAAATTTAAGTGTTGACTAGGGAATAGGACCTGTTTCATCCACATAAGGACCACAGCTGGAGTTTTTGAATGTAGGGAACTAAATGTAATTAATAAAATACCCATATCAGTATAGAGCAAATCCGAATATTGGGAAGAACCTGTCTCCCTCCATGTCTATGGTTGTCTTGTCCCTGCACTGACCACTAAGTCATTGCCTCAAAGTTGAACTGAAAGTCATGTAAATGATATGGTAAACCCTTTCAGAATCAGTGTATATTTAGGTATATTAGGGGTCTGTACTTGTTGAAGATCGTTAATCGGTGACATGTATATGTTCTCCATCAACCTGAGGTCTCGGAGCAGGTGGTGAGTTCAAAGAGGTTGTGCTGGAAGGTGCTTTATACCTTGCATTACATCCCCTTTGGGAGCCTTTGGGCTATTCCGTTGTGCTCTGTGTTTAAAGCATTGATTAATCAGAGAGCATGCCTGCAATGAGGCCACACACTCATACACCTATACACTCGCACTCGCTCCTGCGGGCTACCTCCCTTGAGGGCTCTGAGCTATTTCTCACTGTGAATCAGGAGGCAGAGAGAGAGGCCGTAAAGAGAGCAGCGGTGATGAAGAGCTAGATCAGACACTGTGATAGACAGACTCGAGGAGGATGCTGGATGAGTGCAGAGACACCGTCTAAGAATACATGACCTTGTATAATTGCCCCTTGCATTTAATTTAGCTGCTGTTGACCAATCATAAACTGAGAGGCTCTTGACAACTATGTGGTGATGGATCAAACACTGAGGACATACGCCACATGCAGCATCTGTAAAGGCTTTGTAAACGCTGTCGGAATGAGTATTTTAGGTCAGTGCCATATTTCAGTCTGATTAATGCTGCTGTAACAATGACTCTAATTAAGATAGTAATTCAGATGTGGATATAAAATACTTTGACTAAGCAGCTGTCGGAAGCAACATGGTGTCCATATTAAAAAGCAGAGTTTGAAGCTGTGAGTAATTTTACTTGAAACTGGAGAGGAAATATGAAGACAAACACTTCTGATGAGTCAATGTAGCACAGTGCGAATTGTCTCTCTCTCTTGCTGTGTCTCTTTGTCTCTGTCTGTCTTTCCTTAATAAAGTCAGCTGAGGTAAACAGTTTGATAAAGGTGAAGTGTGTAATAATGTGGCTGTTACACATTTTCTTTAGCCCAGCTTAAATGAATAGTTAAACAAAAAAATGATGATGAAAATAACCACTTAAATTTCAGTTTCTTCCTCAATGTGAAATCACACACTTCACATTTAATAAAACAGAACAGGGGGTGATGAAATGAGCCATGTTGCTATTTCACAGTCATCCGTGTGCTTCTTTGAGATAGTGAGGATGAAGTAGAAGATAATGTTTATATGTATAGGAGCCTGTAGTAATGAAGTGCTCTCCTGAGACTTTGCCTTGAGGCTCTTTATATTGAACAAATAACATCTTTGCTATTACCATGTATTCACAGCTGACATTCAATGTGGCCCATGAATTCCTTTTTTTCCCCTCTTCAGGTTAATGCGTCTGTTACTTGACTAGCAATTTAAGTTGAGTGTTGGGCCAGGAAATTACATTTAATTTTAATGTTAAGTGCAACAAGGGGTGGCCATTGCTTGAGTAGAACGCAATTACCTCAATTGAATAAATCATTAATGGTCCATAGATTGCAGTCCTTTCAAAACAAGAGGTCATTTGTAATTTCTAAATTGCATGTAGCAGAGAATTGGGGGAAAAGTTTGAAAAGTCTTCAGCATGCATGAAAGTGTCACATATTCATCAACCTATTTGCTTTTTGTAATCCATTTTATGTCACAATAGAAACTTTTTACGCACAGACTTGGAAATAAGGCCACAACAGTCTTTTCTTCCCTTTGCCCCTGTTTTGCTAGCAGCATCTGAGCGTTAATGCCCACAGAAAGAGGCATGCCAGAGCTATGGGCATGCTTTTCTACTTCCATCACACAAAAATGCCTGCACGAGGTAACATAATTGGGACATCATTTCCTGAAAAAGCCTTGGATAATCTTAGGCAATCAATTGCATGTAGCAGAGAATTGGGGGAAAAGTTTGAAAAGTCTTCAGCATGCATGAAAAAGTCACATATTCATCAACCTATTTGCTTTTTGTAATCCATTTTATGTCACAATAGAAACTTTTTACGCACAGACTTGGAAATAAGGCCACAACAGTCTTTTCTTCCCTTTGCCCCTGTTTTGCTAGGAGCATCTGAGCGTTAATGCCCACAGAAAGAGGCATGCCAGAGCTATAGGCATGCTTTTCTACTTCCATCACACATCAATGCCTGCACGAGGTAACATAATTGGGACATCATTTCCTGAAAAAGCCTTGGATAATCTTAGGACAGAAAAACACATACTGTATCTCTGTAACATTCAGCCCCTTATAATCTAAGAACCACTAATCTAAGAAATTAAAGAATGTCTTGTAAGTGTTAAATTCACATTAGGGTCCAAAGGTCTAAGGCAAAAGTCTTTTATGCATAAAAAAGGCATAAGATTTGTTTTATCCCTCTGTTTTGGTATAATAATAACAGATGTGATCTCAGATTTTTGGATCATTGTAAAAAAAAATGTGCATTTATATGTTATAGAAAAGACATACAACACACACACACAAAAAATTGTATTATAGAGGGTACACCTAACACTCGGGCCAGAAGTCAAACCTGTCTTAGGGAGTACAGAGTAAAGGATAATTGCTAGTGATTTCTCTTTTCTCTCTCCCTCTCTCTCTCTCTCTCCCATTTATTTCATGTGTCACTATAGAGGTAGACAATATCATTTGAAAGCTTTTTGGAGTACCTAGTTATCAAGTGACCTCTAATTACTGATCCAAATAGTCAAGGACGGATCTGATTTCAATATAGTTTCCATATTGACTGTTATAAAAACTAACAAACAAACAACAACAACAACTGAATTTCAATGAAAAAGTGTTGTTTAATAAAAACATACTATAATGTTAGATAAAATACTGAAATTGTTTAGATCTCTGCATTTATATAAAGATGCTGTAATGTTAGATAATATACTGTAAAGGTAAAGGCAATTGTTTATATATATATATATATATATATATCTCCAGTCAACAAATGTACAAATGTACCATATAATATAACTTGCGACCCTTCACAAACAAAGCAAACATTTGGCCAACAAGTTATATTAATTGTTGACTATCTAATCTATATATTTACCCAGTAACCTACACAATTCTGGGACAGATAACAGCACACGTATGATTAATTTTGAGCACAAAACAATAAAGGGTTGTGTTAAATGATTTGTGTACAATCAAATAATATTTATAAGAACACCTTTACCTGTCATTACCACGAAAATGATGCCCAAAAGATGGAGTTCCCATGCTATCCAAGTAGGCAGCTCACAAGGTTTTGAAACACAGCCCCATTCTCACCCTGTCTTCTCACAGACAGCAGCGCCTGTCTAGTCTGAGCTCCTCCCTCCTGCAGAAGCCGAGCCTGAGCAGCACCTCCATTCAAACCTATCCAAACTCAAGGCATGAGCGTCTGCTCTTCCCCGCACAGCTGCTGCTGATCACCTACCTGCACAACAAACTCTGGATATTCGTCTTGTAATTTACAACCCCCTCAAACCTCCAAAAAAGAGGCCAACTAAATCATTCTGGCCCTAAACATACACACAAGTGGTTTTCCAGACTGCAAACATGGCGAGTGCCTCTTACCACATCTCTAACCTTTTGGAGAAAATGACATCCAGCGACAAGGATTTCAGGTCAGTCGTAATATAACTTGCGACCCTTCACAAACAAAGCAAACATTTGGCCAACAAGTTATATTAATTGTTGACTATCTAATCTATATATTTACCCAGTAACCTACACAATTCTGGGACAGATAACAGCACACGTATGATTAATTTTGAGCACAAAACAATAAAGGGTTGTGTTAAATGATTTGTGTACAATCAAATAATATTTATAAGAACACCTTTACCTGTCATTACCACGAAAATGATGCCCAAAAGATGGAGTTCCCATGCTATCCAAGTAGGCAGCTCACAAGGTTTTGAAACACAGCCCCATTCTCACCCTGTCTTCTCACAGACAGCAGCGCCTGTCTAGTCTGAGCTCCTCCCTCCTGCAGAAGCCGAGCCTGAGCAGCACCTCCATTCAAACCTATCCAAACTCAAGGCATGAGCGTCTGCTCTTCCCCGCACAGCTGCTGCTGATCACCTACCTGCACAACAAACTCTGGATATTCGTCTTGTAATTTACAACCCCCTCAAACCTCCAAAAAAGAGGCCAACTAAATCATTCTGGCCCTAAACATACACACAAGTGGTTTTCCAGACTGCAAACATGGCGAGTGCCTCTTACCACATCTCTAACCTTTTGGAGAAAATGACATCCAGCGACAAGGATTTCAGGTCAGTCGTAGTGCAGATGCCTAGATCGAGTGTTAAGGAGCATGCATGTGTATTTATGGGGCTTGTGATGAGGTTTAACTGTCTTAATAAATAACGAATCGATCGCAGAAAGTTTTAGGCCGCGAATAGCGCGACTGTTGTTTAGATATAGCTGCTTAGCTTAGCATGTCAAACTCATACTATGCGGGGCTCCATTTTGTGCATGGGTAATATGTTTATGGCTATAATTGACTATTTGACTTGTTAATTTGACATTGCTTGCTGGAACTGATGCTGTCAAAAAGTGGGTTTTAGTATGGATGTTAGCCAGCTATCCGCTAGTATTAGCCGATTAGCTTTAGCATTTCGTTTTGATGGCACTCCACACAAACTGTCAAATCATTCGTAACGAGTAAGTTACAGGAATTTACACCAAACCATGGGCGGAATGTGGAGAGAGTTGTAAAGTCAGTCCAATATCTCGTACTTGATGTGATTTATTCCCCTCGGGTTCATATAAGTCGGCCAATGGTAGCATAAGTGCACGCCCATGATATGTGCAAGGAATTAAACTACATATACGCTACTTTTTGGGAGAAGTTTGTATGATGTGAATTGCAGATCTTGAATTTAGGGGCTATTCTTTTTATTACGATCTCTGGATTCAGTGTTTCAGCAAACCTTCTCATTTTTACATGTGCGTACTGACATGTAGACTGACATAAATGCAGTGGTTGAAAAGAAGAAATTATTTTTAAAAATGAATAATGATAGCTAATTTACTTAAATGCAATATCAATTAGCAAATCTTGCATGACAGTTACTTGTAGACTTTGTTCTGAGAATACTTGCCTGGTCAGAAATGCTGTCAAGGCCAGAAGCATGTAAATATGTTGATAACCGTTAAAAAGCATAATGATTATCAGGAAGTTTAATACAGTTATGATTAGGTCTATACAGTTACAATTTGTATTTTAGGCTGTCTTGCTGTTGGGGGATTCCCTTTTAATGATGTCAGTATATTCAGCAGTGGCCACCAGGAGGTTAATGGTTTGTGAGTTTTATACATATCTGACAGGCGTCCTCTAATGAATTCTAATGCAGTCAGTCATCATATCATATTCCCAGAATCGTTCCTGCCTGTCATCTCCGTCAAACCGTTTGCTGTTCTCATTCCAGCTCTTTCTGAATTTCACAAGATTTCACCCCGTGGGAACATTTTGCTTACACACCGTTCTAGGTCTCCACTGCTGGTGTGTGCTGGCGTTCCCTCTCTCACCCTGCTGTTGGAGCGTGTGCGTCTCATGCATTATTCATTCTTTCTTAGGCTCTTGCTGGAATAAGAGATTCCATGCCATCAAATATATGCCAAAGCAGACGCACTTAGGTCTGTATGTGTGTGTGAGAGAGAGAGAGAGAAAGAGAGATGGCATGTAATAGGGTATGCAGAAGGTTTTCACTCACATCAATGCTGAGGCTTTGATGTTGGCACCCAAAGACAAGATTTCATTTTAATCCACTCCAGTTTCATCTTAGAAGTGGATTATGAATTTAGCAAACCATGACAAGTGAGATGAAAAGGTGAAAATGCTTCAGTCAGCCCATTTGTTTTGAGACAATGCCAGCAGCCTCACCATACAGGTTGGTCTCACTTTACGGCCATGTGAGTGACTTTACATTAACCATTCTGTTAGTGCTGAAGTCAAATGAAACCCTCTAAGTGTGTCAGTGTGTCTGGACCATTGGGAACCCCTCTCGGGGAAAAAAAACCTTGCAACTGCTAGTCATTGCTTGTGTAAAATGTTGGTTTTTATGAGTGAAACAGGATATGCAATGGAAGAAAATGTTGATGATTGATTTTTATCTATTGGCAATTGGTTGGATAATGAAAACAGGTATTTTTATGATGTTGTTGGATGGTAGGGATTGGTCACAAGTTATAAAATTTTGGTAGAAGAAACTTCTTTTTCTTCATAATAAAATGAACTGATAAGTCATTCACAGTAAGTTTTTGTTTATTCCCTCAGATTCATGGCCACCAATGATTTGATGTCCGAATTGCAGAAGGATTCGATAAAGCTGGATGATGATAGTGAACGGAAGGTGGTCAAAATGATCTTAAAACTCCTGGAGGACAAGAATGGAGAAGTTCAGAATCTGGCTGTAAAATGGTAAAAATGTTGCCTTTGTTGATTTGTTTCTGTGATTGCATGAACTTGAAAGCTTCTCTTAGTTGGATATTTTCAGCATGTCCTTCATGAATTGGCTTCAGTTTGTCCTCTGAAAATGTTTTAATGTGAAATTGATTCATGCCGCAGTGATTTAGTGAGAGGTATTGCTGTTTTTTACTTTGATTTATCTCTGTTATTAGCCTCTAAGATAATTTTTTCCCAATATATTTTTGAAGGGATTGCATGAATAAGTCAGTAATTTCTCTTAATTTCATTCTGTTTTTTCAATTTCATTTCTGTAATTTCATAACAGGTTAGCTTATAGCAACACTTTTTAAGCCTTATGGAAGATAAAGCCATCTTGTGAATGGATTAACACTGACTTGAATGCTAAACAGAAATAACTTGCAATGTACCATTTTGTAGCAGTAAAAGTAGACGTTTTTTGCAAGCAGTAGACAAATAGGAAGCATTTCAGAGATTGTACTAAAAGTCCTTATTTCTTGCAGTTTGGGCCCACTTGTCAGCAAAGTGAAGGAGTACCAGGTCGAAACCATTGTTGATACATTGTGTACAAACATGTTATCAGATAAGGAGCAGCTTCGAGATATTTCCAGCATTGGCCTCAAGACGGTGATTGGAGAGCTCCCACCAGCGTCCAGCGGTAAAACAACATGTTTTCTGTGTAATGTTATTAATGCAATCGTTTCCAGAGTTGTCCGACAAGCTGTTTTTTTCCCTCTATCATGTGCTAAAAGGACAGAGAATTCATTCACATGTGATTGGCTATATTTTGTAGGGCTTTGTATCACCAGCAAAGTCACGATACGATACAGAGGCCACGATACGGGACTGTATTGAATTTCACCTCAGAAGAGTTTAGTAAAACAGCAGTTTATTAAACGCTGCATACTATAGTGCCATTTCTAACTATTGGTAGAGCAGGCAGTTGACCTCTGCATTATGAAGGGCCTCCATAAGTGTACCACAGTGCAATATAGGTAATGGCATATGTTTCATGTTTACATTGTGCACTCCCCACCAGGTACAATATTCTGATTGTTTGCATCTTGTTTGCAAACTTTTTAGCACTGCCCCGCAATTTTATCAACTAAATAGCTTAATTGCTCAAGAGCTACATTATCTTTCTCAACAAGGAGCTGGTAACATCATTGTTTCTAAAGGAATTAAAGCCACAGCTTCACTGTTAATAGAGAAACGCGGCAAAACGGTGGTAATTCATACATACACAGCCTCTCTCTCTCTCTCTCTCTCTCTCTCTCTCATAAATGAACACTTGATGAATTACACTTTTCTGAGAATAGAATATTGAAGTGGAGATTGCTAAACTGCAAGCTAACCAGTGTTTTCAGAAAGCAAGCACGTTTATCCACAGTGGAGAGAGCGCGCGTACACAGGGTTGTCAGGTTGACAAAGATAAGTAGCACGCTTAGCAGATATTTCCGTATTGCGCAAGTGGGAAACTCTGTTTTGGGGATTACGTCTCTTTATATCAGGCAACCCCGGTTGTGTTCCTCTGCGGCCAGATTAAACCTTGTTGTAGCCTATATATTATGCTCTATTCATTATTTTTTAGAAACCTTGCACTTTTCTACTCAGTTTTAAACATTGTTCTTGTATTCAAATTAAGCGCGGACCACCGCTACACACGTGCCACAATATCGATACTGGGACAGCTGTATCGATACTCGTATGGTCAAATCTCTGTGACGATAGATCGTTGTATCGCTGTATCGAACACAGTACTAATATTTAGTTGTTTTTCTTCACCATCTTGCCTGCTAAGTCCATTTCTCTATGC